AATCGAATCGCCATGATGGATGTGATTTACACCCCTAGTATAAACCAAAGACAGATGAATGAAAAAACATTTGAATCCACGTTGTCTATCAGAAGCCCACAAATGCTACAGAATTTAGGTTTTACACCATTTAATATTATTGTAATATTAAGCTAGAATGACCTTAATTTAAAGATTTATAACAATACATACATATTTGACGATACACATTTGAAAGAAATATTTCAGTCTCCTTAAAATAATTTCTTATTGACTTCTACACTAGAAAAATAAAGTGTTTACCAGTCTTTGGCCAGACAGGACTTCCAACAGCGCCAGCAGCTTCACCCCATCTTTGATGTCCTCAAAAAGATCATTTACCTCCAGAGGTGGTTTATGCTGGCAGAGAGAACAGAGAACAAACAATATATAAACAGTTAGGATGTTTAAGAGTTCACCGACGCTAAGAGCTGAAAAGAAATGCTTGTACACTGGGGTAAAGGATTTGCATTCTAGCCCATTACCAGGGATGAACAGGAACCAAATGCTGCTGGTGAGAAACAGACTTGTTAGCAGCAGCCGCTGAGCCTCCCTGCAGCTGAAAAGATGGTGCTTTTCTTTCCCAGCAGTGGCGTGGTGCCCAGTCCTGAGGCTATGGCATTCATTTAACCCTAACAGGACCGAGTTTCCTCATATCACCTTATTTACACATTTAATGTGTCCCCAAACCTTACCTAAAAGTGACATAAAAATCTAATGTCCCAAAAAATAAAACTATTTTTGTTCTTAAAGACAGTATTTAATTAAAGGGAAAACTGCCCGTGGGAATAGTTTTTTTGGCAGGTTATTCAGGCCATTTCACAACTCGGCACACTCCATGACAGAATTACAATTGGCTGCCTGTTTGGGGCAAAGCGGTCTGGAGTCCTTTACAATGAGCTGCTTTTTTTTTTTGGGACCCTCAAACTTTCCGGTAATTTCTGCACATACAACCTACTCAGGTATAACCATCTGGCTGATTGTTATCTTGCCAAATATGTCCAAATAATATCAAGAGCGAGAACTTTCCTCAGTGATCTGACATAAATACAGCCCACATACATGTGACCTGTAGAAATATAACTGCTCTGTGAAGCTCAGAGCTTTTATATGCTCCATTTGGGCCTGATTTATTAGGGTCGGGTTAGGTCAGTTTAACATGATGCATTTTCCATGGCAATTGGGTAAAATCTAAAGGGGGGGTCAGGATAGCTAGGTGGTACTCTGACATAACGTGATTTTTAAGGACAAACAACACAAAAGTAACAACTCAGTCTGTGTTTATCAATGTTTTTAGACTCAGAGAGCTTAAGGAAGGCGTTACGCAGACACGGAAAAAGGCTGATTTATACTCAGAAACCAGGTCGTCTGCCTGTGTGTCAAAGTGAATGTAAATGTGTCTCCGCCCCCTTCCGCAGACACTCTGCTGCACCTCTCCAAAATTGTAGGCAACCGCAGACAGTAGGCCTCTGATTACTCAAATCTACATCCGCTCTAGTCTATTTCCCTGGTTCCTTACTGGCTTGTTTTGTTTGTATGACCGCCATTGTGGAAAACGACTAGTGAAGAAGGACCAGCAAGAAGAGCGAGGTATGCAAGAACGCTCTTTTTCGCCTTCGTGTCCACCTGTTGTCACACAAACTTGCCCCTACTTGAGTTTTAAAATATCGACATATCGGATATCGGTCAAAATCCTAATATCGTGCATCCCTAGTTTTTACAAAATAACCCTCCAGATCTAGGGTTTTTTCTGGAGCTGTTTTTTCCCCCCACTGCAGTTCTCTTGCATGAACCAGGGCAAAAGCAGCCTAAAGTGGAAAGAAATGTACTTATAAAGCAATCCTCATAGAGAGGCAGGAGTAGGTAGGAATATTTTGGATGAGCCTGAATTAGAGGAGGAGCTTCTTATTGGGAGGGATGCTGTGCATGTCTTACTAGTCGACTACACCACACATTGTTATTAAAGCCATCACTCATTCTATACTCTGAAGGTAATTTTTCTGATTAACAATATACAACAGAAGTTTTGTATTTTCATCTGAAAAACTTAAAACTTAAAACCATTTACCTATGCTAAATATAACAGAGGGTTTCTATTCTGTTTTAGTGGAAAAATTTTAATCCACAACACTGAATTTCAGGGATTAAAAATATCAACGTCAAATTAAATTTAAAAAAAGTTTGAAATTTATATTCTATTTTAGGTTGGCTCACAAGGACCTGATAACCTGGGTTTGTAACTCTGATGTGACAAAATGTGGACAAGTCTAAGAGCTATAAATACTTTAGCAACGCTCTGTATCTGCACAAAAATAGTCCAGTGAAGAAAATGCCCAACCTGGAAACCTGATTTTCTCAGTCACATGATACCCATGTCTGTGGAAAAAAAACATGAAACTCCCTGGAAAAAAGTGCTGCTTTATCAAATACTGCAGGAAGTGGACACAAAGGCTAAAAGCAAAGCATAACAGCTGTAGGAAGTAACTCAGATAAAGTCCATTTTCTGTAAAAAAAAAAAAAAAGTGTACAAAAACCTGTTTCATCCTAAACTGTTAACATTTCACATTATACAAAAACTGTCACTACTAATGTCCTGTCAGGCAGAAACTCAGGAGACATCTGCTGCATGGACATAACCCCAAACCCCCTCATCAGTTAGCCTATATTACATTACCTCTATTAGTATGCAGTTAGTGAGCTAAATCGTAGCGTATAAATAATGGAGAACGGACCAGCAGCAGCGTGTGTCCCAGCACTGTAACTCTACATAACATAACTGATTATCAACTCACCAGGAGATGATTCCAGGATTTGTATTTTCAATGCTCTGCAAGACAATACTGCATCTAATCTAACTTTTGATAACAAAACATATAAGCATGTGTTTTGGCTGCGAACAGAGAGCCTGTTAATTTAGAAGCACGAAACTCAGAAGCAGACGACTGCCTACAGGGAACTGTCCTCACCCTCTTGTTGTCCATCTGGACACCACATTACTGTCCCTGCCAATGAACGCCACAAACACACACACACACAGGCACTATGAGCACGAACGCTACTGCAAATATCTGCCCACTCCAATACGGATTCATACAGCACAAACACAAACCACTCTTTGAATAATTCCAATAAATACCCCACATGTCCGCACAAACACACTCCACTAGATGTATGCAGGCTTTTGTCAGTTTAAATCGCCCTTGAGAGAATCTTGAAAGCTGAACAAATGGGCTTTGTCATTTCATGCCAAAACCCTTCAGTAGGAATATTGTCCTGGATCATTTTTTTTTTTATTTTCACTTCACCAAGCTTTGATAACAAACATCGGGTTCCACTGAACCTGATTTGATTTTAACAATTAGGAAATTAGGGTTGTTACTGTAATCATACTTAAATGAATAATCTAAAGGATTCCAAACAAAATGAAGAAAGATAAGCTCTCAAAATAATCCAAATGATAAAAGTTGTTAACATCTCCCAAGCTTTCCGATCAGGATAGGACAAAAGTGCAGTGTGCTATAGGAAGCAGTTCACACTTACCTTTGCTAAATGAGAATTGATCCATTTTGTGAAGGTTCTCTTCTGTACTGCTTCTTGTTCATCTAAAGAATGAAAAACAGAAAGTTAAATTAAAAATGTGGAAGCTTCAAAAGAAGATCTGATTGATCTATTTCAACACAGTAACAGGTGACTTTCCTATAGAGCGGGCAACCGACATCAGAGATAAAAAATAACTGACCGGTTAAATTTCAATTCAATTCAGTTCAGTTTATTTATATAGCGCCAAATTGACAACACATGTCATCTCAAGGCACTTTACAGTTCAACCAGATCCTACAGTCAAAGTGATACAAAGTTTTCTATCTAAGGAAAACCAGTTGATTGCATCGACTCATTAACTCAAATGCAATCCCTCACACTAAGCATGCTTGTAGCGACAGTGGAGAGGAAAAACTCCCTTTTAACAGGAAGAAACCTCCAGCAGAACCAGGCTCAGTGTGAGCGGCCATCTGCTGAGGCCCACTGGGGTTCAAGGAGACAGAAGCAGAGATACAAAAAGCAGCTGCAAAAGGCGGCCCCGTCCAGGAAACACACAGCCAGGCAGACGAGCTCCGAGCCAGCTCCCATGCCAGAGGACGAAGAGAGCACATCCAGTTAGTCACGGTCAGAGAAACAGGACTACACTGGAAAACAGGCCGATCTCCAGCATCTATAAACAAAGGTGTTGATGGAAGCAGCACAGCTGATGTTTCTCTCCAGGATGGCGTCACAGCCAAACAGGAACAGACCAGATGAAGCTACTCTAATCCATTTAATTGTATAGATGATGATTTAAACTGACTTTAAACAAAGTACATCTGTGAACTATTCATACCTTAAATTTGCAACCAGAAATCCAAAACATTTAACTGTTTTTTTATGTGATGAAACAGAACTATGTTCCTCACAGTAGTGAACTGAGAGAAAAAAAGAATTCTTAATGTAGCATATGTAGAAAATGTAAATATGGAACTTGATTGTGAAGCTGCACGGTGAAACAGTTTATAGCACTAGGGTCTTGCTGCATGGAGTTTGCATGTTCTCTCTGTGCATGCGTGGGTTCTCTCCTGGTACTCCTGCGTCCTCCCATAGTCCAAAAACGTAATTGGCATCTCTAAATGTAACTTAGGTATATGTCTCTATGTTGCCCTGCGACAGACTGGAAACCTGTCCAGGGTTCACCCCCGCCTTTCACCCATACACGGCTGCAGATAGGCACCAGCCCCACCCAGAGAGAGAAGACGAATGGATGGATCTTGAATTTTCAAGGTAAGTCTTTTAGGGCTGTGCTGCATGTTGCAGATTTATAGTCACTATATTACCAGTAATCAAAATCATTAATTTTGCAACCTGTTTAAGTTGTGATCATAATTATAAAATCATATAAACGCAGTGCTACTCACTAGCTGCAGTGGGTTGCTGCAGTAAAGTTATATGGTCACTGTATTGTTTGTTTCTGTATAGATTTAATATGGAGTCACATAATCCCAGAGAAGCACTGAAATGATCAGGTCAGATACTCTGTTTTTATTGTTTTCATGTTTACTGTTTGTATGTGGTATTGCATTTACTTCATTCCTGCTGCTTGTTCGGCTTAGATGCATTTTAGTGACTCTGAACAAATTTTTTCTGATTATCTTCAGAAGGAGCTTTGGAAATCAGAAAAGGAAAGTTCAGTATCTGCTGCTAAATAGCTAACGCTTAGTCAGAGCAGATGGACAGGATTCATTTTTAAGAACTACAAACTACAACTAAATCTTGTTGATATAGGTCTGGACTTTGACTGGACCACTCTAATATGCCTTCACTAAATCTGGGGTCTGTAACAGTAGTACTTTAATGCCTGTGTCCTGCAACTTCTGGATATGTCACTGAAACTAATTCTAAACTACATGAGCCTAGAAATTAAATTCTGAAATCTCTTTCTACTTTCATCATTTTAACAAGTGTAAATAACATAAACTTTTGGGGGAGTCAGGTTAGTGTTCACTGTTTATGTTATGACCTTTCAGCTGATATTATTTCACATTTTAGTTTACTTACAATTATTTGGAACATGTTTTAAAATAGCAAATTTGGAAGTAAAAATTCAGCCGCAATAGTTTCACCTTACCACAGTAACCCGTGTTTATAGGTTCTTCGTCCCAGCTACAATGGCAGAGATTGGAAAATATCAGCTTTTTAGCACTTTTTTGGTTGAGTAATAAACATTGAAACGTTAAATGACACCCTAAGATATATAATGTATAAAAGTATTTAAAAATTATCACATTTTTGTCCATAAATCTATGCCAGTTACAGGTAGAAACCCACAAACAGAAAGACTTTCCCTTAAAAATAAAACTTAGTTGTTGTGATTGTGATTATTTGTCCTATCCAGGTGAAATAATTCAAACAAGCCGATCATTTTAACTATTTGTTCATCAATCAGAGTTTATCACCATCATCATAAATCTTATGATGATCAATCTTTGGCAGATAATGACAGAAAGGGCGATTATTGTTCATCTCTACTTCTCAGAGTGCATTCAGATCAACAGGGCCCTTCTAATAAGCTGCTGATCGGATTAATGTGTTTTGAAGCAGAGACATATTGAAAGGCTGCAAAGTATCGGCTCTGGAGAACAGGAGTTAGAGAACCCTGACCTGGATCACTCACCATCGCTGTCCTAATGGACAGGGAAGCTCTATCCGACTCTCGATTCCTCTGCACTAACAGAGTTTCTTTAAGAACTGCTTGCTTTTTGTTTAGTTCCACCCATCTTCCCTTAAACTTTGAATGAAAATGGACAACATGCTGCCACCACCAAATTTTCAAAGTGTATGATGATTGCTATGTGTTATATTTTCATATATTTTAGGTTAAATACTAAAAGCATGCTTCCTCCTCCACGACACACTGAGCCTTTGTTTTTTAAATAAAATATAATAAGTTCTCAGGAGTGTGTATTCTCTTAACCCTTTATTCCAAGAATAAAACAAAAAAGAAAATTACTTTTATTTGGTTTGAATTCCTTATTTGCTCTTTTAACAAAATATGTAAAAAGAAAAAACAGAAATCCATTTTTGATATTAAGAATTTATTACTATGCGATAAGTCAAGATTATTTTTTGTGTAGTCTTCTACTGGCTGTTATCAGGTATATCTGATTGTGTACAATAGGACTTTGAGCAAAGTTTTTACCATTAAATTATGCAAAAGGTGTCAGATGCAAAACATTTCAGAAACCGTATGTATCAAATACGATACATTTAGCATTATAGGGTTAATGATTCATAAAACCAAATGTTTTACACCTTAATTTAAAGATCATTGTTCCACCATAAGACACCCGTGGCATTACAGTAACACTGCACCATACTTGAGCAACTATGTTTTCACAGTAGAAGTGCAACAATCGCTCCAAACATGAGCTAAAAAAAAAGAGTTTGAGAAAATAGCTTTTCAACACATCTCCCAACCCCCCCATCCCCAGTGCTCAGTGACTGCTGAGGTCACCCCCAGCCTCTCTCTGATCTTTTAATACATTCAATCACAACCCCTCATGCATTATGCATCATTTATAACAAAGAAACACATTTCTGTGCTTTTTGTGGGGCTGTTGTGATGTTGAGCACTGTGTCGTGCGTGCCGGCTGGCTAGCGCTGCGCTGCATACAGTGGCCATTTTTAAACACCCACCTCAGAAATATAGAAACAGTGGTCACGTGTTTAAGAGAGCAATGTGAACACTATAGAGAGAGCAAAGACATCGTTGACCTACAGGCTAATGCTTCATCGCTGATGCACAGGGGATGCCCACTGAGCCATACTGCACACATACAGACGTCCCCGTACTTATACGTACAGAAAAAGGTGCCTGACACACATGATCATGTTTGAGCATTAAGTTCATTCAAAGATCACATACCACCAAACCATTAGCCTATTTTATGTCCTTAAAAGCTTCCCAGATCAACGATGGAGCTCGCTGCAGAGCTACTTACCACGCAGATACTGGAAAAAACCTGTCACCAGATTTAAAGAAGTCTTTCTGACAGAAATGTCCTTATAGTGAGCCATTCTGCACCCCACACTCCAGCTCTCGTCCTTTGCGTCCCATAAGTTCCACGGTGCATTTAGGTGTGTCAGTGGAAAAAAAGACACAACAGGCAAAGCTGTCCTTTCACCCTTTTTATCCAGCAGGAAGCAAAACAGATCTGGCTGCCTGGTTTCCTCGGTGAAAGCGAGAAAGCTGCTGGAGGCTGTGATGAAAATGTCCCCTCCTCCCTGACCCTCTCACACTCTGTCAGACATGCACACACACCCACACACACACCCACACACACGCACACACACGCAGAAGGCAAGGCATAAACTAATAGAGCGGGTGATCTACAATCCCATCCTTCCTCCTTCCTCCTGTGTTTTTCCCATCCAGAGGAGTCATGGCTGTGTGGATGTGTACAGCCCTCGCTGCACTGCCTCGCTGTATCATCACACCATCTGAGGCTGGAGAGGGCTCAGCTAGGAGGCTAGCTCAACCAATCACGGTGTGGAGTGTGTGTGCTGTTGGGGGTGATGTCACAGCCGCGGCTGTATTATCCTGATTTAAGCCTAGTTGGTGTGTGTGTGTGTGCTTTTGTGTGGCAGTGTCTGTTAGCTTATATTTGCCTATAAGACATGTCTAATCCTCTATGACACTGAATCTTAATAACAAAACAAACACCAAACTGGCATACGAGGCTTTGCTATAAACTTAATTAGAAACAAATGAGGTCCCAATGGTCCAATAGATTTAACAGACAGAGCAAAGACTGCTATATAGAATACAACTGATGCACCTAATTCAATAATTAATTCTGAGGCTGCAGAATGACATGCACCACCTGCTCCCCCTCTCTCCAAGCCCAACGCTATTGTGACGACAAAGAAGACACGCCCACTCAGGGATTCCCTTTGCAAAGCCTGATGTAAAAGCTCTAAAGCACATCCATTATCAATGCAGCAGTAAGCAGAATCTGTTCAATGTTGAAAAGTGCTTTTCTACTAATTTAAACATACCACTTTGACATAGTAAATACATTATTTGAAGTGTTATCATCTTGTGCAGAAAATCCCTTTATTATTCAGAATCCCCCACATACTAAAAGCCTTCTCTTGCATGTAATAAATAACCCTGAGGTGTTGCTATAAATAGTTTTTTACACAGGAGGCTATTTTTTCCTTTCCATGCAGTAAATTGTTAGTAGCTGTTGCTCAGAACGGACAGCATTCTTGCTAGGAAAGCCGTTATATCTTATTCTCATTCTGCATAGATTACGGGATTAGAGGCAAACAAATACAGCATGCAGGAGCATAATAACTGTCATCTCTAAGGTGGAGGGGACTGCAATGGACATGTTCAATTAATTCTTACACTTTTTTTCTTCTTTTTTAACAAACGCAGTCATTTGTTTGGTATAACCCGCATCTTTTTTTAAACAAAATACATTTATAAAGACATGACCGTCCAACTATAATGACTTATGGTAAGGAGACCAGGGCTGAAACAATTAATCGGATTATTCGTGATTGATTGATTATTGAAATAATCCATTAATTCAGTTATTGATTAGTCGTTAAATGGAGACTAAAACAGATCTTCAGCTGACAGGGCGGCCTACTTAGAAGAGTAATTATATATTGAAAACTTTTTTTGTCCATCAATATTCTCTATCTAGAACTTCTTAAGTGGAGAAGGTTTTGTTTCACCGGGTTTAAATTCTGTAAAATATGTTCTTTAAGTAACTTTTCGCTATACAATTATTAATAGACTAGTAAAAAAATAATCGAAAGATTAATCAATTAGCAAAATGATCATTAGTTACAGCCCTAAAGGATTAAAACATTAATCAAAAGGCAAATGGTAACTATGGAAAGACAATTTGGTGATGGGATAAAGTCTAGAAATCTGACCTCTTTTAAGAAAGAAATTGTTAAAATACTCAAGGAAAAAAAGTGTTTTCCACAGGCCATTTAGTGAACACAAGAAACACATAGAAGCTTTTCTGCTCAGTATAACTGGTAAAACTAGTGACTTAAACAAGTTAAGCAAAATGATGAAAATGTCACAAAATTTAATTAGCATTGATATTTCAAACATAAATATTGGTTCCAGATGTCAACTCTGAAAGTTTATGCCACCTATTGTCAAATTGTCAAAAAATGTTATTGGCAAAGAATCGTTTAAATTAATGGGAGAAAAAAATTATAATTTGCAAGCAATTAAAACATTTTTATGTATATTCAAACTGCAAAACAAGATCATATCAATAAATAAGGACTTTTCAAAATCTTAAACTTAGATGTTCATTCTGTTAACATTGGGCTGAAACAATCGTATTAATCGTGATTAAGCGATTATTGAAATATCGTCAACTCATTTAGTAATCAATCGATCATTAACTTGAGTATAGAGACTCTAGAACGTGCCTTTAGCTGACAGAGCGACCCACCTTGAGCAGCAATTATACCAAAATTGTAAAAAAAAATGTAAACATTTTCGTCTAAGTTAAAAATCTCGTCTGTCAATATGCACTATCCAGAACTCTTAAAATGGAAAGTTTTAGTTCCATCTGGTTTGATTTTGCAAAAAAGTCTTCTTTATGGAAACGTATTAACTTATTAATCGATTAATCAAAGAAATAATTGACAGATTAAACTATCTGCAAAATAATCATTAGTTGCTGCCGTAGTAAACATGTAGATTTAATTGTTGTTCTAAAATGATACCTTCATGTGGAACAACTCCTCTGTTTCTCAGCCAACTATTTTAATGAAGATGAATTCATAGATAAAAAAGGAGAAAGTTGAAGAGGTCAACTGCATCAACAAATATCAGGTCCAACCTCTAGAGCATTAGGGGCTCACACAAGTAATCAAGTAGTTGAGGTGATGGTAGGAAAATGATACCTTTAGCAATACTGAGCATTAGGTGCATGGTTTCATTGACTAGAGACGGTCACCTGGGAGTCCTATAAAAGCCTTCTCATTCTGTTCTTCCATTTAGTAGAGAGAAGCTTTAGTTCAGCTCTGACAGGCCATTAACAACCGAGCAGCAGAAGAAATGATTCAACAGCTGAATGGTCAGTCCTATCTGCACAGAATTTATAACCACCAATGAACAATGTGGTGAAAAAAAGGATTTTGGATTTTTTTACTGAACTTATTTGTTTAAAATCTGTTTTGCACAAAAAACTATTTTGTTTTCCCCTGATCAGGACACTCCTTTTTGCTGAATGTAAACTTCCTGCAATGTTTTTTCATCTCTCCACTTTTCAATAGAGACCAGATTTTTGGGGTGCAAAACTAATATTCTCCCACTTGAGTTGTCTCTGCAGCTCCTCTAGCGTTACCATGGTCATCTTTGCTGCTTGTCTCTCCATAGCCAGCCTGTCACTGCAGGTGGTCAAGGTGAAGACTCACCAACAGTTAATATGCCGTGAAATTAGCTTAATTAACAGAAGAGGAGTTGTGGACTTTATCAGGGTGTTTCAGTGTGGGGGTTGTGACCTTGTCTTTGGCAGATTTGGGCCAATCAGGTCATTCTATTAAAATGTTTACATGATGGACTTAAAGGAAAATTCCGGTTTTTAACACTTTTAGCCCATTTTCTGTAGTGTCCAGGATGAAATCGAATGATCGACACCAAAATTTTGACAATTGGTCC